AGCACCGTTTGGAGTGCTGTACAGATAAAACTATAGAGGCCATATTATTTAATTATGTAAACTCTTACCACTCAGCACCCAGTTATAATGGTTCAGACAAATAGGCACCAATTTCTAACAGCAACAAAAACTCCACAAAGCAGTTTTACTAGCAGATGAGTCATTCCAACCAAAAGATTATTTTTTAGTACCCTTTTTGAGTGTCTGCATTTACTGGAATAAATATTTATATTATAATTTTCCATATTGCCTTCTTCTTAAAATTATCACATATTATCAGTATACTGTAGAATACTTTATTTTCGCTTGGAATTAAGTTTCGCTATTTTCGATGAAAGAATTATTCTATAAAAATAAAATATGGCGATTATACAGTTTTCCCTATATTTTACATTCAGCTCGTCAAAAATCAGTGAAAATAAATTCCATACAAAACACCTAAAAAGTCTATTCAGCAAAAATTAATTCTAGCTAAAATAAAGTATTTTACAGTATATAGAATCAAGAAGTCACTTTATCTAAATTTGATAGAATTGTTCCAAAATCTCTTGAAAGTCTGAGCCCTCGTGTCAAGCAATAATTGGCAGTGTGGAGTCCTTCATTTTAGGTACAATGCTTCGAAATATGGAAATACTGAATACATGTGCAGTGGCAGTTTGTGAAGCGAGGAACAAAGTATTAAGCGAATCACAAATGACATGCAAAAACGTAGTCTAGATGTATCTTTTAGTGGACGAATATTGGAATGTTTGTAGTTTAAACGATCTGTACAATTTTGGGAAAACATTGGATATGGCTGAGTACCATACATTCTTGTTTGCATGTCCATGCATTACCATCAACCAAGGAACAGTTAACATCTGATAACAGGGCTGCATGTGGCATTGATCAACCAATGTGAATAGTGGATAGTGCAAAGTATTATAATATATTATACTGCCCAGTTCTCTTGGTAAATATATAAAAGTTTTATTGATATTGACTTTTACCCCCTGAAAAATACTTACTTTTGGTGAATGTTGGTCAATGTAAGTTGAACCCCAAAAATCTGTGGAACATTTAATTGATTTTACTTTCAGCTTTGATATATGAATGAATTTTAGTAGATTTTACAAGAGGACGAACATATCTAATGACAAATTAAGATGTACGCTATATGTACACCACTAGATATAGAGCAATATAGGGAAGGTCAAAATAGTTATAAAGCAATTATTGAATATTTTTGCATCATTTTTAAAAACAATAACTTTCACCTATAAGTAATTTGAGCATCGATGAATAAAAACTGAAACTAAATTTACAGACAACCCCCCTCCTCTTCTACTAAAGCGTCGTGATATGTTTGAACTCTGCCATTCCAAAAATAGATCCACTGAGTTAGCTGGGATAAAATCAACACGTTCTTAAAATAAATATTCAATGTATTTAATTTGGTCTAAAAATAAAACCTCATTCTAAATCTCATCAGAAGATTCATGTTGAAGCATATATGCATCAGCAATGCCTTCCTATGCCATGTCTAGTTGATTTGGTTCGCCCTACAAAAGACTCTGAATAAACGCTATGATATGAAAAATACAACAGCTGTCTTGAACTGGCCAATAGATGTTCACAAGGTTATATGCCACAACCTGGTTAAGGAATGATATACAATATCAAAGAACCGTGACATATTGGCTACAAACTAAGCAACACATATACACACAATTTTATTGATCAAATCTTTCTTAATTCGCAACATCTGTGGAACATTAATAAATTATTAATTAAATCATGGTCACATGGTGTAACAAAAGTTGGTGTATATTAAAAAGTAGTTGTTACAGTGATAATTTTGTATTTGAAAACAACTGTAATGTAAATGCACTAATAGAGCAAATACGATTTATGAATATTGCTATAAATTACTTTAACACATATGTAGCCACAGGGTAAACCTCCCATGTGGTTTTGATTTGACTCTGACTGTTTTTAATATATAGAATGTCCGCCTGAATTTCTTGATTGCAAGGAAAGACTAGATATTATCACAAAGTTTGACATCTAATATATCAGCTGGTAAGAATAATGATTTGTACGTATCATAGCTTGATTGCTCAAATCCCACCTGATATAATTCATTCAATAATACCTGCCCTACACCTGTGCCTTCCTAATGGCATTTATGAGTCATTGTATCTAATAAATTAATACATGTTATGAAGAAATAATGGGGCTCTATCAGCTTGAAAACTCATTTATTAGCAATATAATCTCATTAAGATCTGACCCGGCTGTTTGGCGGCCATTTGTTTTGTAAATCACTAACCAAGACCAAAAATTTGACTGACTTTTTATGAAAATCAACATGACATCACCAAATATTACCAAAATACATAACTTCAACAACAAAAATAGAATTCAGCTCAAGTTCTATAATTTCATGAATGACAACATTAGGGATGACATCACACTTTTCTAGAATAGCATTAGTTCATGCTGGATTTGTACATATATCCAGACGTAACATTTTATAGAACACAATCTGAAGTGAAATTCAACCCCAAGTTATGGTCATTACCATGCGAACAAGTCACCGTGTAAAAATATCAACAACGGAGCAATTAAAGAAAAAAAGGCAAGTTTTTATCTACAACTTCACCATCACCCTGACAGCACCAAACAAGTTCAAACAAAAAACCTTCAGTAAACATTAAATTATCGCGGTGATAAAATCAGTACAAGCAATGTAAAGATTATGAATTGTTAGATGGAAAATGAAAATATAATAAATGGAATTTGAAATGCTAGAATTATTAATGCATAATATACAGAAAAATTGACTAATCTAAAAACAACACCAAATAATATGTAACTAAATTACCAGTGAAACCACAACTACAGTAGAATACTTTATTTTTGCTTAGAATTAATTTTCACTATTTTCTAAGTAATGATTCAGTGAAAATAAAATCAAGCAAATATGCCGCTGTTCCTATATTTTACATTCAACTCGTCACAAACCAGTGAAAATAAATTCTATACAAGACGCCCAAAAAGTCTATTCAGCGAAAATTTATTCCAGCTAAAATAAATTATTTTACAGTATCTGGTAGCCTGCAATGCTACAAGGTCAAGTTACTGATTAGTCAGATATTGGGCAAGTGTAGAAGCAATTATGGCTGTCTGATAGATATTATGTTCTCACAAAAAAAGTTACATCAATGTAAGTTGTGCTCAGTAATTATAGCTTATGCAAACAAGATTCATACAGGGAGTTAGCAAACTCCCTTGGAAAGTTCCTATGAACACTGCAATATAGCAATACATTAATTTTGTTTTGATTATCAGTGAAATTACAACATCGTTGTGACTATATTACAAAAGGGGATGTGAACATTGATTCTCAGGAAAATGCAAGTTACATGTATTCAGACAAATCTTGTTTGGGCCTGTGTTTTAAAAAGATAAGGATGTCATAATCTTGCATACACACCAGTAATTCATACAAGTTGTGTAAATATATAATATGATATAAATCGGTCTTTTGTGTACATTTCTGGGCCATGTAAAATGCCATAATGCTATATTTCATATACAGGCATATAGCAACCTAAACTGACTTCAAATTACTAGTGTTTTCTTCGGTATATTATCGCTCCTTTACACTGGTAAAACACGTACTCATCTGTTTTTACATCAACGTAACTATCACAGACTAATTAAGCTTGTGCTGATACCCCTGTCCCCATCTCCCCTTCAAGGGGGTTTCAACTCCACCATTTTTAATCAAACCCCTTTACGTTAGAAAAAATGTGTTCACATCTGTGGAGTCAAAGGGACACAAAGCACAGATGAGAAAATAATAAATGATACATGTTCAATTATTCAAAAGTGGCCACAAATTGCCAATCCTGATGATAGCACCCAAAGTCCTTTTTTTAATCATGGTGCTATATCAAATCAAAAATATGTTGACTATTCTAATGAAGTTAATAATTTGAGCTGTGATTTGAAGTACATGTACTTCTAAACTGATCATTGCCCATTCTTAATCTTTTAATCCATTGGCTCATCCCTTTTATTTATTTATAATCCGAATAATTTAAATCTAACTCTGATTACATAGGTTTGGCTTTGTTATATTGTAGCTTACAATACAAAGGGGAGGGAAGGTGTGACCTATATTGGTCCACCCCCTTTCAAAGCAGCATATAGAGATGTATGCTGGGACAACAATGCCCTGAACAACTCAATTGCTTATCGAAGGTTGATTTTGTGGGTACAATAAGGGGTAATACTTGGCCAACCGACTGAAAGAGGAATGTTCATTGTGATAAATTGTTTGTTTACATGCATGAATCTGACCAAGAGAGCAGAGTGCATGGTGTAATCTGGTGATCTGACTTGTAGTAAAAAAAAAACTTTTTTATTATCTCTGTGTTAATATTTCAAGGGTTTTATCATATTTATATCACTGTTGTTGTGTGCAGTGTATTTCTTTTTTTATTTTCACAGAATGCTACTGGTGTTTGACCTAGATAGCAAACTGTCTGCAACATGTTTTTGCAATTTAATTCCTCTTTTCGCAGCCAGCAACTACTCCAGTAAATACTAGGAGTTATTGACTTAAGTTGAGAACAAATACTATAAAAACACCAATAACTGGCCATAATGATGGTCATTCATAAAGTTTAAAGACCCATAGAGTCTGATAGCTATAATACAGATATAAGAAATCGTGTGTGTGAAGTGTTGTTTTAGACTTCTTGGTGACGTACATGTACGTGATTCGAGAGCGCTCAGTTGGATTCTCGCAACAGACCACACAAAAATTGCGCTATAATTGGAGATTTAAAGAGGTAATCGGAATGTCTGAATGTTTTTTCATCCGTGAAATTTACCGGTCACCGATATACCTCCCACTACATACAAACATAGCCGGAATAAATCACATGCTGTATCGAGACGCTGCTACCCGCATCCCTATACAAAAGTTGTCAACAAAACAAACTTACCGATGGAGGCGGCGGGGAGTTGAAAATCACCGGCGGACCAAGACCAGCAGGGCTCCCAGACGTCGCCAATTCCTGCCGCGAGGTTTTTCTTCTCCTGCCGCTGCCGGAAAACAGTATTCGACCAACAGCAGACATTGTGATCGCTGCGTAATCCTTTGCACTCCAATACTCAGCGTGGCGTGTAGAATTTACCCCAGAGAGAGAAAAATATGCGATCTATAGGCGTAGACGAATCGTTCTGTTGATGAACAAGACGCTTTATTTCTGACACAGTTTGCCCATCATTTTAGCAGGTGTTACGAGCTGACAGTGCGTCGGGAACTGGTTCACAGCTGGTTACACATTACGTAGCTTAAACGGTGCCTAGCGGTGGTAACTCCTAGGTATGACTAATGGCATTAACGACGGCATCACGTCAACCCCACATTCAAATGCACGACATATTGTGATTGACAAGAAGTAAGTCACGTGACAACGTTGGATGGACGGAATACTGCCCTCATAAAACGAAAGGGAGCAAATTAAAATGATTTATATTTTAGAACCTTCATTTTTGCTTTTTCGATGAATATTAAATATCAAAATATGTAGACAAATATCGTTATTTTATTATCGTACATCTATTTGCAGATAGCGTTTAGAATTGTGAGTTTAAGCAATTATTTTGTGGCAATTCAAAATACACATACCGGCCACAAGAGGGCGGCAAACTGTTGAGAATTTAACTTCAACGTGAATTTCGTGAAGGCACACTGGACTTGCATTGGTCTGTGGCGATACGCAATTATTCCGAGTTTCTTGGCAGTAGAGTTACTATATTACGAAAAATCAACATATTTTAAACAATGAAAATAATAAATATATATTTTCGATAATTTGTTGTTTACAAAGTACGCCCTGGTATGTACGTGCCAGGAGTGGACATCACGGACGCCATACCGTTATCGTAGTAGGTTTGTATATGTTGATGTGATAGCTGTTATTGAGATATCTCGTCTTGGTTATTTAGTCAATAAAATGTAATCAACAATACTTGGATGTCTTATCTGTGATCAACTGTGGAATTCCGACCAGTCTATACCTGTTTTGTGAGATTTGTTGCGTATAACATTCATTCCAGTTTGTAGATTATTAAGTTGAGTTATTTTGATAGTGTTGTTAATTTCTTTCTCAAGAATAATAAATAGGATTCAGCCTTAAACCTTTACTTTAATACAAGGTGTTTGATCCGCGGCATTTCAATTGTCTTTGAAATAAATTTAGTTCACATTTTCTATTATTCAACCCAAGCGTATTCCACCGCGGTACGAACACGGAAAATCAGACGGAAAGTGTATTGCCTAGGGGT